CATGACAAACTGATCACAGAAACCTGATGAAATGTGTTGACCTTTGGAGATATGTATGTATATATTATTGATTTAGGTCACTTCAGTGAGCTGAGTCATGATGGCCTCTGTCACCTTGCTTTTTCTTAAAAGTTATATTCTTATATAATCCAAGACAATGCAACAAATCATATCCATAACCCATATGATTTACATTGATATTATTTCCATTATTAGGCATCTGTGTGTAAGTTGGGTGTGAAAGCTGATTCTCTAAACATTGGGCATTTTCTTACCATTTTCTACATTCTAGAAAATACTTGGATTGTATCATTGACATATGTAAAGGAATAGTCACTAAATTGCTTAAATGTGGTAATGATATTAAGGTTTTAGATTTTGCTGGTTGTGAGGATAATACTGCTGCTTTACAAAATTATGTAAATTATTTGATGAATTGGGTAAATAAATAGCAGATAGCTTTCAATCCTATGTCCATGGGTGGGGTCAAAGTTCACATTTAACAACAATTTATGGAAGAGTAAATGCCAAATATAAAGGGATACTGAAACAAACTGTAGATGCATTTTAGAGGTTCTAGAGTTTATTCAAATATAAAATGCAAACTGAATGATGGACAGAAGTATGTTTATTCTTCTCATGAACACCTTGCACTCCGACTTGTTAAAGTTGAAGTCATACTGACATAGTCAATTCACAGACATATCTTGAATACAAATACTTTTGTAACACATCTAGTTTTTCGTGTGCAATAGACTTATATGTTTTACAAAAAGCTTGTCACATGTTGTTTTTATATGTGTAATAAATTTGGAATTATAGTCAACATTCCTTCTTCAATAAGGGGTTGGTCCAATGAACTGATCCCATGCACGTATTCGGGTAATTATAATAAATACAAGGTAGTGCATGTGGGTTATCATAATTTAAGTTACAAGTGTAATTTTAATGGGGATAACCTTATCAGTGTTATGAATGAAAAGAATCTTGGTGTTTTGGTTGATCAGGCCATCCAAGCAGCATGACATTGCTAGTTGTAGTGAAAGTTGGATTTTAGGTTGTATTTACACAAATATTGAAGTATAAAGAGATTATAATATCAGTTTGTTAGTTGTAATGGATGCTAGGAGTGGGTTTTATTTGGGAACTCGGGACTGGAATGTACTTTTAAGGAAGCTAGTAATGAAGATCTACAATTTTTATGTAGAGTTTGTAGTTTGGAGGAAAAGTTAGAGGCAATCATGATTAAATTAGAGGCAATAGATAAAGAGAAGTGTATACTGTGGGAAATGGCAGCAGGATTTCAGGAGGAGCTTAAGCTTTAACATGCAAGGGATACATCAGCTAACAATGACTTTAAGGAAGTTAGAAAGAGTACTATTAGAGTAAAAAGTGGTGAATTTAGCTATAATGAACCTATTCTGATGAGCAACAAATTTTCAGCCCTTGGCTTCTGCAGATGAAAAACTATTGGAGGGAAGGAAAACAAAAGGGTCAGAGAAGGATGTGGATGATAAGGAGGTTATAGTTACCAGTGATTCCTTGATAAGGCTTGTGGACAGAATAGTCTGTGGGGTAAATAGGGAGAAAATAATCGTATTATGCTACCCAGGGGCACAGGTAGAGGATATAACTGGTAAGTTGATAAGGGGTTGATAAAGGCACTTAAAGAAAATGGCCATAAATTAATTTTGTGAGGGATTCTGCCCAGAATTAATTGTAGGGATAAAGTTATAAGTAGGTCATTAGGGCTGAATGCTGGGCTTAGGTTAGTATGTAAGGATGAGCAGATTGTCTGGGTGGACTTGTGGGATCAGTTCAGTGGGAGAAGGGACCTTTTTGCAATGGATGGTTTACATATAAAAAGAGTAGGAGCTGGCTTGTTTGTCAATAACTCAGCTGTAAGGGAAGTTTTAATCTAGGACTAGGATAGGCTTAAGTTTTACTATTGCAATGCTAGAAGTATAAGAAATAAAATTGATGACTTTAGAGCACTGGTAGGAATGGAGGATTTTGAAATAATTGGAATAACTGAAACATGGTTAAACATAGATAATTTTGATGACAGAATGTTTTTTCAAATACAGGGTTACAGGCTATTTAATAGGGATAGAGTATTAAAGAGGGGAGGAGGAATGGCTTTATATGTAAAATTTGAGTTACATCTTATTGAAGTTGAGAATATCGAAAATAATAGCAAAGGGATTGAATCCATTTGGGTTTCTATTAGTGGATATAAAGGGAAAAGGTTTTTAGTTGGAATTTGTTACAGACCACCAACTGGTACTGAGGAAATTACTGAGAAACTTTACAATGAGATTAAGATTTCAGCTGTTAAGGAAGTCATAATTATGGGTGATTTTAATTTCAGGCATATAGATTGGGAAAATCTAGAATAAAAACATAAGGGAGAAAGGTTTTTGGAAACTGTTCAGGATGGCTTTCTTCACCTGTTAGTCAAGGAACCAACTAGAAACAATGCTATTTTAGACTAATTGTTAACTTCTAATACAGGAATGATTGAGAGAGTGGAAGCTGGGGAACATCTCGGTGCAAGTGATCATTGCTCTATTAGGTTCAATGTTTTCTGCATATGCAGATAAGGAATGATGATATTTTGGTTACAGATTTCTAAAAAGCAAATTTTGAAGGGATGTAACAAAGTTATTTGTTGTGAATTGGGCAGCTGAGTTATTTGGAGACATTGATCAGATGTGGAAAATTTTTAAAGATAAATATCTAAATATTCAGTTGAAACATATTTCTAATAGAAAGAAAAGAATAGCTAGAAGTAAAAAAACCAAAATTGCTCACAATGAGTTTAAAAAAGAAAATTAAAAAAAAGCATCATAAATTTAAGAAATTTCAATTGACTGGTATGACAGGAGACTTAGAAGATTATAGAAGATCAAGAAAATTGGTGAAACAGTAAATTAGGACATCATAAAGGATATATGAGAAAAAGTTGGCAGAAAATGTAAAAATTAACAGTCAGGATTTCTTTAAATACATTAAGGGGAAACAAAATGTTAGGATAAGGATAGGACCCTTGAAGGATGATAAAGGAAGGCTGGTATCTGATGATTATGAGATGGCTGGGTTATTAAATTTTACTTTTTCTTCATTTTTTACTAATGAAGATTTAAGCAATATTCCACATCTTGATCAATTGATAAATGGAAAAAGAGATCAAACAAGATGACTGCATTAATTCTGAGCTGGTTAAGAAAAATTGGAATGTTTATAAAACGATAAGGCTCCTGGGCCAGATATTATTTCCCCAAGGGTTTAGAAGGAGGTTAAAGATTGGATATGTGAGCCACTTTCTCCTAGTTTTGTCAGTCCTTG